TGCGCCTCGGTTGTCGTAGCGCATAACAATGACCTAAATTTTATTAACCGCGCATTGATTGATTGATTGATTTATTTTCGAGTAGCCAAGCCCGTAAACGGGCACTCTCACATATCCTTATCGGTTGAAGAACATCAAATATGCTAGGCTAGTCAAGTCACCACAACTCGTTGAACATTCATTATTGCATTGTGAAACGTGGGTAGAACATAGCATGTTCCAGCAGATAAAAGTAAGCACGAACTACACCATGTACCAGGGGATGGAAATTTTCCTTTCTTACGGAAATTACGGGGCAGCGCCGTATGGCCATTTTGCGCATTCGATGGCATTTTATTCCCACTCTTTAGAACATTCTGACCATTTCTAATTATCGATCCGCCGCTGATGGCTGCCGTTGGATATGTTGTGTCCGTGATGGGAGGAGTTGATACTGACTAACAGGAACACCAGCAGCCATCGGGGCCATTGTTAACCGGCACGCAACGGGCGCCGTAGCAGGTAGCAGCAAATCTGCAGCCAAAAGGTGCCGTTATATAGCGTTGGGTTATAGTGGGATTGAACAGATACAGACTACCACTGGCCGAATTACTCATCGACATTCACAAGAACAGTAGCATGGATATCCATTGGCACCCCCCGTACAATCGTATATGGATGCGTAGCCGTAGCACATTATGTATATTGCCACAGGGACCGGGAGATCGTGTCGGATGAGGTGGGATTGCGCAGATACAGACTTCCCGAGGCTGAATTACTCAGGGATATTCCCGTGCCGTTGCCGTTGACCTGCGACTGACTGACCACACCGTGATGCTGGCCATTACTGGTACTGTTGGATTGGCTGTTCTGGTTGTTCTGCAGGATGGCGGTAATCGAGTTACCATTGGTATTAACATAGTTACTGCGCGAGGTGAACGCTAAGGTGGCGGTCACCGCAAGGTCATATTGTAAGCTGGAGCTGCTGCTGCCGCAGCGTTGTGCCGGAGACGAGGTTGTGTGATTGGCCCACCGAGTTGTGGTTGCCGTTGTCCAGTGCGGTTGCTTGCTGAATGTTTAACTGCACCTTTCCAATGTACGCTCCACCACTTCCGGATGATCCGCTTGATCCACCCGTGTCAAGCTGACTGAAGATGCAGATTCCTGTTACTGTCAGTGTATCGCAGAACGAACTATTTCATTTTCAACTTCAACTACGCCTTTGAACCTTGCTATTACACAACATATGCATCGGCACTCGCACCTTCGAATTCGCCTCCCGCAGCGGAAGGCTCGCGCCTTGATCAGCGACGAGAAGACCCGGGGAATCTACTATCAAAAACGACCATCGTGCACAAAAGATTCGAGGAATGGCACAAGCGACAATCGGTTACACGCTAAAGCTCCGTAATTCTCTCAACAAGGCGTAAACGTTTTTTGGTTGTACCAATGTATAGGCACTAAGATCAGCAAGATGTCACAGACCTGACACCGCCGCAATGATTTGTTTTGCATTTGATGCCTGTGATGGGCACGTAATGCATAAAAATTTTATTTTTTACATAACAAAATTCATTTATATCCGTACGAGGCTCCAGAATTGTTTTGACGAAGCGCAGCTTCTGATCAGAAGCAATCCTGTAAGAACACAGGTGGAAAACGTCATCGCTAATACAACAAGGAACAAACGTACAAGCGCACAGATACTCGTATAACTCGTAAAACATAATACCTATGTATGTCGCGCCATAGAAGTTCTAGTCTTCTGTCAGTCTTCTGCAAAGTTTCTACTGCAGAACCAGGGTAAATTGACACATACAGTACGTTACATAACGCACTCGTTTACCGCTCCAGCGCGACCTACCGTTACCTACATGAGCACTGAGAGCCAAAATACTCGTACTAGTTTGTTTGCAACAGAATGCGGCCATTCTGTTTTTGACGTGATTACCGGTACAAAGAGTTTGCCGCTGTTAGCGGTTGACAGATCAAAGAACGTCAACGCTGTCGCTTATATTTTTGCTTTTAATTGTAACTGGTTTTGTAGCATAGCGCGGCACGCGCGTGCCGCGCTAGATTGATACACCAAACATTATTTTGTGCGTGTACATCATCCATCAGCCCGATTACGTATGATGAATGGCGTATTTTTTATTGCATGTTAGCTGTTGACATAACGACTTGCTTAAACTTTCGTCACGATGAATGTATCCATGTACCGCTGGAAGCGGCTAACAGAACAAAGAAAGACAACGCTGTGACTTATTTGACTGCTTTTGTATCCACAAATTAGCATTACACAACTAAGCTTCCGATAGTGGACAACTGAAATATAAGCCACCAAACGTTTCTTTAAAAAACGACATTTACCAATTCGATGTAAGCGTTCTCTGGTCTTTCTTTAACACAGAAATAAGAACGAATAACGAAGCCACATCTGTCGCTAGCTTCACTGCTGTCACCTGTCTGCACCTTGCTTTCGGTATGTACAAGCTTGTCTCGTAATGTCTCTCGTAAAGTTCTAGATAAATCGAAGTATGTAAACTCGAAGTCGAGTTGCGCTATGAACGATTGACACTATACTGCGTCTACCACAATGGCAAATTTCTCAACAATATATAGGAGGCTATTTAAGTATATATAGGAGGTATTTACCACTTTATAATTTATATGGATAGTTTATCATTTCGATCGATATCTGACATGCATTAGCCATGACAGATGCCTGTGGAGCGCAACTAGTGTGGTGTGACGTGCCGTAGTGTGAAGTCTGGCGTCAACCCGGGAATTTTTATTTTCTCTGGAAATTACGAGACAAGATTGTATAGTATTTTAAAAGAGAAGTGTGTTTTTCGATCTAACGACGATGCATTTACAGGTGACACCGGCGGCTCAAGTGGATCCACCGCAAGGGGCGGCGCAACCGATGGACAGGTCCAGCTAGATATTCAGCAAGCCACCGCCCTAGACGATGGGAACCACAACTCTGTGGGCCAATCACAGACTCTGGCCTCCGGCACAACGCTGAATATTTTTGGCAGCGCCAACTCCGGTCTGCAGTATGACCCTTTGGTAACCGCCAAACCAGCGTCCGCCTCCGGCAATAATTACGTTAGTGCATCGGGTAACGCGATGACCGGTGTCCTACAGAGCAACCAGAACAGCCGATCCAACAGCTCCAGCGACGGTCAGCATCACAGTGTGGTCGGCCAGTCGCAGGTCACCGGCAACGGCATGGGATTATCGCTCGGCAATTCGGTGCAGGCTAGTCTGTATCTGCGCAATCCCACCACAACCTATCCGTCGCGCTCTCCATGCCAGGGCGTCACGTGCCACGGTTACGGCTGCACGGTGGTTGAGAACGGATATCCTAGTTGCAACTGTGCGTGTCCTACAGCTCCTTACGACTCCGAAGATGCAACAGACGCACCGGCACCGCCTCCACGGTCGCTTCATGCGGCCGATCAGCGGCAGAGGAAATCTGCGCCGTCAACGAAGAAAAACGGACATGATTTACAAAAAAGCCGTGGAAAGGCACAAGTGAACGCGGGTCGTACGCTTATGTTCCTTAATTCCCGTTCCGGAGCATGATGAGCGTTAGTTATTAAATTGATGTTCATGACTTCAGTTAGTGCGTACCAATATGCTCACTCATTAAACTGGTGTTTTTGCGTGACTCAACTGTGGGTGCGCCCATGCATCCCCTCTCGGCTCTGTGCCGATGCGGCGTCCTTTCCCAAATCCCCTGCAAGTGTTTCCCACAACATTAAGGAAGTTAAATTGTTTAGTTTCTACTGTTACCCAAATTTGTATCACTACCGTAGTAACCATGTATTGTTAAAAACTTGCACGTACAAGAAAATAGTGCTGCGTAAACGCTTTTTAATTTGAAACATCCGAAAAGCCCCTTATTACTGGCCAATGACATCATCGCCGTCATGCGACCGACCTGTAAATTTGACGTCGGTCAGTGTTAGACCGGCTGACGGTCGTGAAAAGTGTTGCGGTCTGTCTCAAGAGCACTCTAATACATATATTTATTAGTAAAATTATCTCTGTTTAATTTAATACACTTGGACTAACTTCTGTCTTTACGTTAAGGCGGCAGACATTTTTCTTGCCAAAACCATAAACTTTGATATACAGAAACTGTACTTGCAGAAAACTATACTGGGGCATTTCTTCTAAATGCTAATGCTAATGCTTCAGGCATTTTTAATTTCCGCTTGCTTAATTACAACTCGTTGCTGATTTGTAATGGTTCGTTTATGTATGCAAATCGCCACCATACTGTTCCAGTTCGCAATCCATGAAAATGACAGTGCATCAGATAATTCAGATTACTCTACCCAGAGTAGCTATCTATGTATTTCGATGTGCTTATAACTATTGAGGTCTTATGATCAATAATAAAATTATTATCTTCGGGTCAGAGCGTAAGTACTAAAGGTTGAGAGCACTATCTGTAAATGGTCGAAGTAACAATTCGGTAAACACTACACTAAGCTTACGTCACGGTAATTTTCAAAGGAAATCCTGAAGTGTTGTATTACGCCCTGTAGCTGTTGTTCCGGTAGAGCAGATACATACATTTATGAGTCAGTTAGTATCCAAATTTGGCCAGGACAAACATAGCTTCAAGTAAACTATGGAACGTCTGCTCTGTGGATGACAGTAATATTTTAATGTTGCAAGTTACGTCAGGACAAATTATCACGTATAAATACCATCTTACCCTTTGTGTCGTTCTGAGAAGAACGTCTTGTCTTCTCAAGCTTGCAGTATGATTTTGGTCAAAGTGTTCCGATAAAGTGACGAGCTATTGGAGGCGATTACATGACATACCTGGTTGTTATAGCGCATATAAGAAACTCCACCCATGCCAGCTAGTAAAGACGCTCTCGGGATCAACCGGCTATAAAATGTCACTTGTTAATAACACGACGTCCAATACCACAACGGACCAAACCGTCCCATCCGGTACCTGGTGGGAAATCACGCTAATCTCCATCGTTATAACCATGACGATAGCGGCCAACTTTCTCGTCATCTGCGCCTTCTTTGCTGACCGACAGGCCCGAACCGCCTTCAACTACTACCTCTTCAACCTGGCTGTTGCAGATTTCTTAACCGGGACCATGGGCATGACCAGCTACGCCGTGTTCACCTACTACAACTGCTGGCCCTGGAGTTACGCGCTCTGCACCGTCTGGATGTACTTCGACTTCCTGAGCACCTCCGTCATGATGCTCACGCTGCAGACCATCTCCGTGGACCGCTTATGGGCCGTGACCTTTCCGGTTTCTTACAAACGGCACCATACGTGTATGAAATCGCAGTTAGCTGTGTTGGGCATTTGGGTGTTCAGTAATGGTTTGATCGTACCTTCGTTGACGTATTACAGAGTGTATTTTGGTATTAACGAGGATCCCCGCGAATACTATTGGGATGCGTGGCTGCAGCCGTCGTACGCCAGCTGCTTTTACCAATTAATCTTTTTATACTGGACGCCCGCTTTGATGACCATTGTAGCGTATTGCGGGACAACGTGGCAGATATGGAGACGACGGGGTGCACGCCGCATCAGCGCGACCGGTACGCTGCCCACGTGGAGAGAAGTGCAGCAAGCCAAGAAAGAGCATCAGGGGTATGTCCTGCTGTCACTGCTGATGGCCGCGCTGATCGTCATGTTTGGGCCGTATTTTGCTTACGAAGCACTGTCGATGAGAACGGGATACTACAATTATGATTTTTTTACGGTGACGTACTGGATGGGATATTCTCTCTCGGCGGTTAACCCGTTTCTATTCAATTGGGGCAGCCCGGAAATGCACAATGCGGTCAGCAAGTTAATGGGATGTCGCCGCAGGCGCGAATCGCGTGGCGTCCAACCATCGGTACCGGTGGACGAAAGAGCAGGAAATTCGGCGTCTACTGGTGTTAATCCAAGACGGTGACGGCTTTATCGCATTAGCGTTATAATTATGGACAAGTTCACATCGGTAAGAGGTTGGACGAAGTGTATTACGTACTGAAATGATTTACTGCGTGATTTTCTGTTTCACCAATGTATACTTATGTAAAAAACCGATTATGGGCTTATAAGTTCACATTAGAGGACAACATTATTCGGATAGAAATGAGACTTGGCTAATCTCGAACCGTTTTTACGGCTTTAGAAATTATAGATTATTATGTACCAACACACGACACCATAATGATTTTTTATTATGAATCGCATCTGTTGCCTTGCACAATGTGTTTAGATCATATTGGCTATTAGGTTCCAGCAGTAAAAAATTAACATTACTCTGCACCGGATGCTAGGGTATGCAACTTTATGCTTTCTTTCGAAAATTACGGGGCAGCGTCGTATGACCAACTTGCGCTTGTTCTTTCCCGCGTGATGGCAGTTTTTCCCGACTCTTCAGAATATTGTGACCATTTCTAATTATTGATCCGCCGCTGGGTCTCCTCTGCCGCTGATCCACGCGTGAACCGTTGGCTACAGCAAGAGGCGATGGCGTTGCTGTCGCTGGGTATGTTGTGTCAGTGATGTAATGAGGAGTTGATACTGACCAACATGAACACCAGCAGGAATCGGGGCCACTGTTAATCGGCACGCAACCGGCGCCGTAACAGGTAAGACCAGAATAGCTGCACCCTGTTGTCGTTATATAGCGCGGGGTTGTGGTGGGAAGGCGCAAATACACACTTCCCGAGGCCGAATTACTCACGGATATTCCCGTGCCGTTACCGTTGACCTGAGACTGACTGATCACGCTGTGATGCTGGCCATCACTGGTACTGTTGGATTGGCTGTTCTGGTTGTTCTGTAGGACGCCGGTCATCGCGTTACCATTGGCATTAACGTAGTTACTACCGAAGGCGGACGCTGGATTGGCGGTGACCGAAGGGTCATACTGCAGGCTGGAGCTGCTGCTGCCACCGATGTTCAGCGTTGTGCCAGAGACGAGGCTTTGCGATTGGCCCACCGAGTTGTGGCTACCGTTATCCAGAACGGTTGCTTGTTGACTGTTTAACTGGACCTGGCCGTTGGCCGCTCCTCCACTCCCGGATGATCCACTTGAACCACCGGTGTCACCTGGAAAAATAGCGTGAACCCATTTAGAAATCTTCGAAAGCTCTTTATAAAAATGCTTTTTATATCTAAGACAAACTAGCAAACGCCTACATACCCAAGACCAGCGACGCAAAACCTAAAATTAATGGAAAAAACTGCATGGTTGCTACCGTGATAGTAAATAAACCGCGGAAAATTTCTCAATGCTGTCGTTTTTCTTGATAAACCGCTTCTTAGTAAACGTTTGGTGCTTTTTATACATACTAATAGTTTGGAAGTCATATATGTTCAGTCACTGTACTGCCAACTGGTGAAGACGGCTGCAATCAAACAGTTGGCAGTTTCTGACGTTCTTTGATCTGTTTGCCATTGCTGACGGCATATTCGTTGTACCGGAAGTGGAATTCAACCGCAAAGTCGCAAACGCGGCTATTGGTAACCGCGCTAATCATAATGACGATAACCTATTAATTTTCCGCTATAGGTAGCTCTAGCTGTCAAACACTGTTTTGTAAATTTGCTACAAATTGACAAAAACGTCAAAAACAAAAAAAGCGGCCACTCGGTACGGCTGATTCGTGCTGATATCAGATACTTCCAAGTAAGTGTCTGTATTACAGACGAAGTACTTGCTTAGCACGAAACGCATTATACTGTTATCGATATTTCCAGGCTGATTATATCAATATATAATATGTACCATAACAATGCATCATAATGTAAAAATATGGTCTTATTATTAGAGTTCAGTTGTAGTAATCAAGTAAAACCATCCTAGTGCATTTAATTCGATTGCGTGTTCCTTTTGGCCATATGTTTAAAACAGTAAGTCATCCTGGCCGGAAATTGTCTGTCTGTCATCAAGAAAATTAATTTAAACAGTAATAACAAGTAAGCAAACAAGCGATCCGAATGTACCATGCACAATGCGCTAATGTACTGCCGCTGTGCTTTGTTCGGGTTCCATACATTTCCGGTATGCCGCAAATAGTGAGCTCGGTCACTGGATTGAAGATTAAATAATTATGAACAGATCAAAGAACAAAACAACAGCGCAAATTTTAATCCGATATACGGCAAATCGCAATATTTGCAACCGATCGATCGTTACTACTGTATTTAGGCATAAGCAGAAGTCAAAGGTACCCACTTATGTACTGCATCGTAAAGTTTAAATTGCTTTATATGATCCATATTGATTAAAGAAAGAATGAAGAACGTTATTTGGTTTCTTTTTTGCTTTCTTTTGCCTTGTCCAGGGGTATTCAGTAAGTGAGCCGCTTGTTAATACATTTGTACTGCGACAAACTGACAAAATTATTACGGCAATTTATACGTAGGTGACACTGGAGGCAGCGGCGCAGGATTTGGCCAAGGATCAGCAACTAATGGACAGGTCGACCTGGCCATTGAGCAGTCATCTTCGCTGACCAACGGCAACCAACACTCCGTGGTCATCTCGCAAAATAATGTCGCAGGCACATCGGTATCTTTCAGTGGCAGCGGTAGTAGCGATCTGCAGTTTGATCCAACGCTACCTGCCAATCCTTACATCACTGGCAGCAATACAGCAAATTCGTACGGGAGTGGCACCACCGGTATAATGCAAAACAGCGACCAGAGTTATTCCAACAGCACGAACGACGGCCAGCATCATTCGGTAGCCAGCCAGACGCATATTACCGGCAATGGCACGGGACTATCCTTAGTTCATTATGCTAACGGTGTTATTTTGGCGAGTCACTATACGACCGGGGCACCATATGTTACAAATCAAAATCCATGCAGCGGCGGCGGTGTTTATGTCTGTGGGAGTGTTTTTTGTGGGTCGCCAGGGTGTTGCCAGTGTGCACCTGCAGGAGTCATACAATTTTCCGAAACGGAGCCGTCGAAAGTAGTGCATCATGATCAGCGAGAACGAAACGCAGCGCCTCAAGCGAGAAAAAGGAATGAACCACAGCGAGGACGGGAACATCTTAAAGTGGACAAAAAATCCCACGCACCAACCGCCTCTACTCCTGCCCGAAACGTCCATAATAAGCCTAAAGCATGAACATGCCATTTTGCTCGTGTTTCTCTGATCAGTTTCGTTTAATATCTGTATTCGCGAAGCAGCATTTCGTAGGTGATAATGGGGTACTGCATTTCTGAATTGACTTTGACCGGGGAAACTTTTTTCCGTTGTTTGAATGAAACGATTTTCCAGCGTCTTTATTTAAATGGCGATTAAAGGTCTTTAATGGCGAGTGACCTTTTGCTCGGGCGCTCTAAGTACTCTAACCAAAATGTGTTCTGCCATATTAAATCGGTAGAGTTCTCCGTGGAATCGATTTTATGAATGAATAGCCACACTGCTTGTGTGATGTATGAGTGTACGTACGTACAGAGTGTACACGATATCTCGAGATTCTACTCTGTATGCCTGTATGTCTTCCTAGCTACGCCCTGATGTGCTTCTTACAGTTGCTGTTGTTTGTGTTCGGCTGCGATATGTCCAATTTTCAGTAAAGATTCTCACTTCTTTCAGATACATAGAGTACTAGTAAGGTAGTAGTAACCTTTACATACAATAAGCTTGATTGATGACACCGTGCACCTGGTCGTCACTAACAAACTCTTCATCTCTCGGAGAAATCATCATCTTCATCGAAGTCTACATCTTCTTTCTAGCCCGTGTTCTAACGTCTCCCGAAGAATCTGGTGTAAATCGCATTCAAGTAAATAAGCCATATTTTGGTGGGAGAATAGTTTGTCAAAAGCGGTAAACAGCGAGAAAATTGGAGATCTTCTTTTACCAATGGAACACAGCGTTTAAAGCGCTCTGGTTGTTTCCACGTAAAGGAGACATTCAGTCCCGTTGCAAAGTACTCTTTATCATGCTGCATTAATTCAGCAAGTTCGTGGTACTGCCGCCCCGCTGTACATACTGTATCAACCGTCCAAAAGTCCGTGTCGGGCGATCCGCTGTACAAATCCAATGGTCCATCCTTTGATGCCGGTAAGTGTTATCGGAGGTATCAACACTCATGCTGCGGAAGGGAATAATGCGGAGGTCTGGTGTGTGCATTGCTGCAATTTATCCGTAACAAACGCTGGATGTACGCTTCGTAATCGGTGGTCGACCATGCAGGTCCAGGGAGAAGTAGACAACATGTTGATTGACTACTATTTGCAGGAAGAAGTGCAGCATAATAGGCGACAGATTCGGCAGTTACGCATCTTCCAAGCTGTCGACACACTACTCCTCGCGGAAGTGGGAGGAAGGAGCAAACCGTGTTGAAAAATAACTGAAGCTGGAAGTGGAGAATTCGAGCAGACGTCGACAGATTAGCAGCTCTCGATGGTGTACGTAAAACAATTCTTTTAAGTAACTCCAGGTTCTTACAATAATTTAGTATCCAAAAATCGACTTAGAAAGAATTTTTTTATAATTATTTAGCCGTGCACACAGCCAAACCCATGCAATCACCCGTGCACGCAACCAACGCTCGTGTTTCCCGAGCAACCAGCATCGGAGCCAGCAAGAATAAATCGAAAGCAATCAGAGGAAAGTGAGCAAAAATATCCTAATAATACCCTTTCTTCAAATCCGGAATATCTCAGCGATGCCAAGCAGTGCCATTCTGCTTAGCTTGCACACATCCATGAGCCTCAGATCAATATCGTTCCAGAATTTCAGGTTTCCGTCTGCGCGAAATGAGCTAAACCTGTTAACAAAATACACGTTATTCTACATATTTAGTGCTGATAAATTTGTTTCTTCTTATGCTCGAGGCGCAAATGTATTAGCGGATGGCTTTTGCTGTTAGGGTGGTCTCATATTCTAAGCGCACCTGAGGTTGACTATCTAAAAAAATTGTGACAGGCCGTGCAAGGTTGAAGTTGTAAAATTAATTGAAAAATATTTCATTATTTAATTTCTTTTCAAGTTCGCTCCTCGCATAACACTTTGTTGCGCAGTATCATAAAAATTGTAACCTTTAAGTAATTATATCAGTAAAAGGCCAATTCACCTTATTGTCTGCCTGCAGTAATCTCCCCAAAGACCAAATCAAAATAAAAAAAAGTTACCAAATCAAACCTTGGCCACGATTTTAAATCCATGGCGCTGACGGCAGTACAGATTACGGTTGCGAATTGACTCAATTGAGTTGGGTTGGATGACACGGTAGAAAATAAACAGATTCGAATAGTTCATTGCTTTTTATTTCCTGTATTGTGCGCTAATGCGCTGCAAGAGCAACCGATAACCCTTTCTTAACTAGAGTCAGCTGATTAAGAGAAAGTTTTAACGTAGGCGCTGCACGGTGGAAACGGGCAAGCCTAATATAACATATGACAGACATAGTCTGTCTATATATTAAATCAGTATAGAGTTCGCCGTGTAACTGAAAGATCAGAAAGATTCTCACTGACTGGAACGTCAGAATGATTCTGTCTGCACTCAGCTTTTGCGCCTGTCTATCCTTTAAAGGTGAAATGATGGAAAGGTAAAGGTTAGCCTGACTCCGCCTGTTCAGTTGCCGATTGTCTCTCAGATTCCATTTGGAATTGTAAAGAGACGCAATCAAAGCATTTCTAATTTTTCCGCATATATTCCTAATCAATCCCCGCGCCTACGTAGGGTTTCCGCAGAAAACGTTCCGAAGGAGTTTTGTACATTTGTTTTGTACACGAATTTGGTACATGTACCAGTACCGGCACACTTCCCCTAAACATAATCAGATAATGCGCTAATTGCGCTTACTGCCCGTATAGCTTGGTTTGTGCTGCCAATGGTAATTGGACATTTTCGTTCTGCCGTTGCAAGTGCTATACAACCAGGTAAACCTACACTGATAAAAATGCTCGGATAGTCTCCCATTCTTGCGGATAAGCCAGCGTCTGCACCCAGCGAGTATGTACGTTCTTGACCTTTGCGTAAACATCGTCCGAGACAGGTGGGAAATAACTATCCAAAACCCACATGAATTTGCTGCACATGCTCTCTGGATCTTGGCTGCAATCCAAAACCAGCGTCGGGATCGTGATCTGCAGTTTATCAATTTCGAGCGCACCGTCCCAGAAGGGCAAGGGTTTGGATATGAAAGGCTGCATCCATTGAACCTCAGGGGCTGGTAGAGACTTAAGTCCGAACGCACGATGGAAAAATATATGATACAGAACGGCGCCAAAAATGTTGGTTATTTTCCAGTTGTGGACCACGATGCGTTGGCAGCTGTTTTGGTAAAGGCATAAAAAA